GGTTTTTTTTTTTTGGGGGTTGCAGAGAATGGGGTGAAAAATTCATCGCCCAGCTTCAGAGAATTCAGCTGGGAGGAGCTCAAAACCGCGACAAAAGGTTTTTCTTCGGACAACATTGTTTCGGAGCACGGAGAAAAGGCTCCAAACGTTGTCTACAGAGGCTTTCTTGAAAATGAAGGATGGGTTGCTGTTAAGCGTTTCAACAAATCCGCTTGGCCCGATCCTCGCCAATTTCTTGTTAGTAAATCTCTCTCTCTCTCCCTCTCTCTCTCTCACTGCCTGTGTGTGTGTGTGTGTGTGTGTGTGTGTGTGTGTGTTCTTGTTAGTAATTTCTTTGTTGGGTTTTTTTATTGAAGGATGAAGCTAAGTCAGTGGGGAACCTTAGAAGTGAAAGACTGGCAAATCTGATTGGGTGTAGCTTTGAAGGGGATGAGAGATTGCTTGTGGCTGAGTTTATGCCTAATGAAACTCTAGCAAAGCATTTATTTCACTGTCAGCTTCATATCCTGCTTCGAGTTTCTTAAAATTGTTTTTGTTAAACACTTGCATTCATCTCTATGAATCCCTTTGCATTTTTCAACTTTGTATCGTATTTCGTTTCTGAATTTGATAGGGGAAAATCAACCCATGAAATGGGCAATGAGGCTTAGGGTAGCTCTATATTTGGCGCAAGCTCTCGACTACTGCAGCAATAGGGGTCGTGCATTGTATCACGATCTTAATGCTTATAGAGTCTTGTTTGATGAGGTAAAAAGTAAAATATGATTTTTAACAAATTTGTGTTCGTGAGTTGAGTTGGCATGTGGGTTTTTTATACTTTTTGCACCGTGGGCCTTTTGTTCGTGTGCAGGATGGTAACCCTAGGCTATCTTGCTTCGGCCTTATGAAAAACAGTCGAGACGGTAAAAGTTACAGTACAAACTTGGCTTTCACTCCTCCTGAGTATTTGAGAACTGGTAAATCTAAGCTGCAATTCTTCATTTATAACTTGGCAATGTGGATTTATATCGTTTGCCATAAAAAAAAAAAATGAAAAAATGAAAAATCTTGTGCAGGAAGAGTAACTCCAGAGAGTGTGGTTTACAGTTTCGGAACTATTCTGCTCGACCTTCTAAGTGGCAAGCATATACCTCCGAGCCACGTATGTTCATTACCTTAAATTATTCGTGCAATTATTATGTAATATTTTCTCTTTATTAGTTCAATAAGCCAAGAATATTGAAAATTTTGCAACAATTCAAGAAAGTGGAATTTTCAATTTAAGTTTTTGCTTTATAGGTTGTTAAGTTTTTAGTTAGAAACCGAGTTTTTGATTATTGGTTGCTCGTGTGGTGTGTTGTGCTAGGCACTCGATCTCATTCGTGGAAAAAACTTTATGATGTTAATGGATTCTTGTTTGGAGGGCCATTTCTCTAATGATGATGGGGCCGAATTGGTTAGGCTGGCCACACGATGCTTGCAATTTGAAGCACGCGAAAGGCCGAATTCCAAATCACTATTAACTTCTCTCTTATCCCTTCAAAAAGAATCTGAGGTAATGCTGCTGATCAAATCACTATAAATAACTAAAATATGCCTTTTTTAGCCAATATATCTCACTAATGAAATACATAAATTCGTGTTTAGATAATTTTTTGGAGCCGAGAAGAATTAAATTTTTTCATATTTAACGTTCGGGCCTCAGGTTCCTTCATATGTTTTACTGGGTGTTCCACAAGCAAATGCAAGTAATCAGATGTTGACTCCCATTGGTGAAGCATGCTTAAGGATGGATCTCACAGCCATACACGAAATACTCGATAAGGCTGGATACAAAGACGACGAAGGAATTGCTAACGAGGTTAAAACTTAAAACATAGAACAAAGTTCCTCGTTTTGTTTCTTGATATTATTTTCTCGAAAAAACATATGTATACTTTTTTTTTTTTTTTTTGGTGCAGTTATCTTTCCAAATGTGGACAAATCAAATGCAGGAGACTTTGAGTTCCAAGAAGCAAGGAGATGCTGCTTTTCGAGCCAAAGATTTCTCGTCCGCCATTGACTGCTACTCCCAGGTGAACCTCTAAGGCTATGTTTGGTAAATATCAGCTGATAAGCGACCCTATATTTTATGACTTATAGCTAAAAAACAAGCTTATATGATAAAAGTATTTGGTAAAATTACCTGATAAGCTAGCTGAAATTCAATGAGCTTATTTGAAAAGCTACTCAAAGAAGATTATGAAATAAACCTCGAGCATTTTAAAAAAACTCGTCCTATCAAACCAAACTTATTTGAACACAGGCTAATAAAAAAAGCTATAAGCTAACTCATATTCTTACCAAATACAGCCTAAGATTACTCCATAGATTCCTTAATCATTCGAGTAATTTTCTGATTTTTTCTATTTTTTGTTTTTCATTTCTTCCATATTTAGTTCATTGATGGTGGGACGATGATTTCGCCTACTGTTTATGCTCGCCGTTGCCTATCATATTTGATGATTGATTTGCCGAACCAAGCTTTAGGAGATGCCGTGCAAGCACTTGTTATATCACCAGATTGGCCAACCGCTCTTTATCTTCAATCGGCCTCACTCTTCATACTCGGGATGGAAAACGAGGCTCAAGAATCGCTTAAAGAGGCCACAAAATTGGAAGCGAGACGAAACATGAAATAAGAAGAAAAAAAAAGTGTATAGATTTCTCCTCATTTTCTCGATTATCTGACAGATGTACTTAAGTTTTTCAGCCATTTTTCTTGTCAAAAACCAGAGGATTGTTTCAAGTTTGATTGCCAGTTTTCAAATTTTCTCTTTTTGGTATTTTGTGAAACCTTCTTAATGCTTTGAGAATTGTTGTGATTGGAAATTCTTGATTGTGTGGACTTCGTCCAAAATAATTGATCTCAAATATGATGCTATTCTTGTGTTGGGGCAATAAATTATAATCATTTTGACTGGAGAATTTGTCTGATAAATATACAGGCTCTTGATTTAACAGTTCGATTTATGAAGCATCGAACGATAATACATTTGGACAGACGAATATAACAGCAGCAGCAGCAGAACTATAAACCAGTAACAAAATCTTTATATATGCGAAGAAAATGTAAGAAAATTACAATGTGACTTCAATCAATATTTATTTCCTCAAAATTGCACTCGTTTAAACCCAATACAACATCATCAATGTCAGTTCAGCCTACTCAAATGACACGAACGAATATTATCCCCTTCACATTGGAGGCCGGTTGTTTCCTAGCAATTGGCCGACAAAATTTGTGACCTGCAATGAAATATGTGTTGCAGTCAAGAAGAGCTTTGTACATAGTTCACTATGCTCAGTGAATTAAAACTCCCTAATATGACATTAACTTCATGAAACATAAGCAACAATAATTACATCTTTGATTTTGGTTTTGCTACGAAATACATGTTAACGTTTCGAACAGGTAATTTTATACCACACCCACAATTAACTCTCTTAATATATAAAATGGAAGATACGTGCACAAGCAGGAAATTCATTCATGCCCATACATTAAAACAATCGCAAAAAACCAACTAATTACCTGCCAATACTTTGAAACACACCGATCGATGCAGCTGTTTTCACCCATGTTCAGTTCAGATTCTTTGTACCTAAAAACACAAGAAATTTCACTGCCCTTCAATCACGTGCTTAAAATGTATTTACTCCAAAAAAAAAAAAGAAAAATCCTAAAATAAAGAAACCAGGTATTCACAATATTAAACTTCAAGAAGCAATATGGATTATGTATTTCCAATACATACTTTTGCTCGACACATTTTTTGAAACACGTCTGCGTAAGCCTGAAGCAGAACAAAGGTACCATCATCAGCAAATATCTAAGTAAGAAAGTGAAGTAAGATGGCTAAGAAAATTCTTCCAGCATTCTACATTCAAACTGAGGACAAGCAATGACAAACAACAAATGGTAAATAGAATTGTTACAACATTCTACACCCAAACCGAGGAGGAGCAATGACAAACAACAAATGGTAAATAGAATTCTTACAACATTCTACATCCAAACCGAGGAGAAGCAACGGTAATTAGCAAAGGGAAAATAGAATTCTTACAGCATTCTACATTAAACCCGAGGACAAGCAACTACAATCAGCAAAAAGGGCACATTTCTAATAAATATTATGATCCAAGAACCAATAAAATGAATCAAACGACAACTAACAGCGGATACTGGATAAAAAAACATGCCATCAATACAGCAAAAAGGTAAGATTTTGGCCTAAGGGGCATTTTCACAAACACAAAGAGTGGCTTACTTGTTAAACATATCCACCCTATACTCCATCTCCTTCTCCATCATCCCCAAGAGCTGCAGAGAAAATAGACAGCGGAATAAAACCCTAAACCCCCATTCCTTAAATCCTATTGCACATAATTGCGCAGCAATTTTCTTTTGTGCAAGCCAGTGTAATGTAGTAAGAACGAATTACCTGTTCTCGCTCCAAAGCAGAGGGCGCATTGGGTTTAGCCATTAGAGATCGACAACGTGAGCTTTTCAGACAATCAAAGGCAAATCCTTTCCAGATGAAACTTGCAGCTCAAAGAAAACTTCAATTGTAACGAAAATGGCGAACGGGTTTAGTAGAAAAAGGTTTGCTCAGAGGCTAAAACCCTAAACGGAGGAGGGACTAACCAAACGGGTCTTATAGAGCAATGTTCAGGTGCGAACAATGATTTTGTAGTCCGGTGCACCGCACAGTGGCATCTATACTTATATTAAAGGGGAACCTATTTACTAAATACAGTAGGTAGAAAAGTCAAACATAATTAATGAATTTCTAATTTTATCAAGAATATTAATTACGTGCACTTTGTTTTTTTATTTTATCTCATAAAAACAGTTTGGTAAAAAAAATCACATAAGATCGGGAAATAAAACGTGTATGGAAAGAATTGATCACAAATCTGTTCTTATCTTTTTACAATTTGAAAATTACGCGTTTTTTGGTGTTTGGAATCTTTTTTATTCTAAACTATTTTCATCAGCATAAATCGCACGTCTCTCATTTAATTCAGATTTTTTTGTTTCGAAAATTGCATATTATTAAGGCCATAAATCATGTTGTCTCTTTCTCAAATAAAAACATATTTGTTACTAACATAAATCACGCGTCTCTCATAGTATTATGCAAGGAATAATTATAATTAATTTTATTTATAAAATCTATACTTATATAAAAGGCATTCTATTTATTAGAATTAGTAGTAAGAAAAGTCAAATGTAATTAATGCATTCTATTTCCATCAAGTATTATATTTAATTATTTTAGTTAATTGTTTTATCTCATAATACTTTTTCAATACAACTTACCATGATTTTTCTATTGTGATTAAAAACCAAATTTTACGTTTAAAATCTTGTGAAATTATTATTATTATTTTTATAAAGCACGTATTATTTGCTAAAAAATTGTATATATATAATACCATCACAGTATCATGGTAGATGATTTAAATTTCAACTGACCAAAATACCAATGATTTAAATTAGAACACACCTATGCGTTTGACCAAATGTCTGGATGATTTAAAATTGAGCCCATAAAAAAATTATTTAAATTTGAACACACCAGAAATTTTATGTACTTTTTATTTATAAATATATTGAAAGTGGTATTTAATGGTTGTTATATAAACTATTTTAATATATTTGCAATGAATAAAAGGTTGAATGAATAATTTGTAATGTTATTCATAATGTTTGTGACTTATGAGACACGAACACATAACTCCATACATATTTGTCAGAGGGAGGCTTAATAATTTTTTAGACTTAACGTTGATTAAAAGAGGTAGAAAATCGATATTAACATTATTACCTTTTAGACTTAAACGGACAAGGCTATGAAAATAACTCATTTAATATTTTTGTCCCGTGCATCGCACGAGGTACGTACTAGTAAAGGCAAAATGGCAAACAACCATAGTAATAAAAACTGGGCCAGACCGGACGGTTCAACCGTTTAAACTGGGAACCAATAAGAATTTCGGTCCGGTTTGAGACATTAAACCGGCTTAACTCAAAACCGGTTATACATTTGTTTTGTTCTCAATGTAGTTCCAACATTTTAATTTTGAAAATATAAGATATGGGTTTTTCAGTTTTTCTGAACTTGTGTTGCTCATAATCTGAACGTAAAAAAAAAAACAACATACCCAGTATATTCTCAACCGGTTGGAGTCTGAGGGTCAGTTGTATGCAGATCTTACCTTGTAATTATACAAGGAGGTTGTTTCCGTAGCGACCCAAAGTGTATTGCGTTGTTTGATATATTTTTTTTCTAAAAACTTCACTAATAGAGGAAGCACTAGAATTTAATTGAGCAATTTTGATCTAGTCCATTATTAACACTATGCCAAGAGAATTGTTAATAATGACTCTTCCAACTCCATTTGCAATGGACATATCATAATGCAAAATAGAGAAAAAACAACGCGTCATTTTTATTTTTTTTTTTAAAAAAGCAAAATAAATAAATAAATCAATACTTAAAAAAGTTAAAAGAAAATACACTTATATTTAACTAATTTTGTGAATTTATTAGTTGCCTTCTAGTGTGTAACTGCGTGTTTTTATTTTAATAGAAGTCTATCGTTTCGTTATANAAAAAAAAAAAAAGAAAAAAGAAAATCAGAGACTTACATATTACATTAATAAATTGACTCCATATAAAAATATTGAAATTTCAATTTGGATTAATTTAACAATAAATACTACAGCTAAACCCCCCATCAAATGCACACTGCAAATCCTTCCTTTTTTTTTGGTAAAGCTTATATATCAACTTATATAAGCTGCAATAATATTTTTTTGCATCAATCACATTTCACATGTTTCAATCACATTTCACATGTTTCAGAAAGTAAACTCTCTCTATGAAGGGATGTTGAAGTGGAAAAGCCAAGATATGATGAAAGCAAACACCATACAAGCCAGAAGGAAGTTTAGAAACCGGTGGCCATTCAAGCACGTTCGGGTCTCGGCTGACGATGATGATGATGCCGTGGGGCCCACAGGCGTACTTGGAATGACCAAGACGCCCTCGCCAGCTGGCTGACCGGCCTCCATGTCGTTGGGGCCCACCACATTTCGCGCGACCGAGTTGCAGATTTCGCAAGTCCTGTAAAAATGACAAAAAAATAGTGAAAATGCCCTTAAAGAAAAAAATAACAAATTTTCGCAGCTGATTCGAGAACAAATGGCAATTTATCGTGTTTCTCGAATAGTAACCGCGATCTTCATATTTTCCTACCTAAAAGTACAATTTAAGGCTTCAATACAACAGCAAACTAAATCAGAATAAGGTTCGAATCTAAATAAGGT